GCTTCAGTCTGAGAGTGGCGTAAGATGCCAGCAGAAGAGGCAGTTCCCTACTTTGCTGTTGCGCCAGCAGAAAGGTTTGTGTGATTAACTGGCTTTGGGAGGTGATCCAGGCTGCAATTACCCTCTGGGAGAAAAGCTTTAACCTGGATCGCTTCTTTGTCTCGCTCATCCCCGGGCCGCTCAAGTTTCTGCTGCCCTCCTACCGCCTGCCAAGTGCCCAGACCGTGCTCACGTTCCCTTCTGCAGCTTTCAAGGCAAATGACTTCCTAAATAAAGCTGAAGGCTGGAAGCCGTTAGAGGCCAACACGCAGAGAGGCCCGATGTGCCCTGGGGAAAGCGTGGTGCCTGATAGCAAAGGGGCAATTGAGGTAATTGCCTGGTGAGCCCTGGGAAACAGCGCTCCCTCGGTGGCAGGTGTTCCTGGCACCCCACGTGAGAAGATGTGATGAGCCATTTCCCAGATCCACCGCCTCTGGAATTCCCTGGAGGCTGTTGGCTGCCTAAAAAGCAGTGGCAAGAGTTGCTTTATACACCAGTAGGCCGTTGTACCTGATGCCAGTGAAGAATGTTCTGTACTGATGTTCCAGCGGGGGAATGTCCTACGTATGTATACAGAGCAAGCAGAAGTGTTATAAAGGCAGGGATTCAGTGCTGTGACAGAATAAAGCTGTGAAGGACCTGAGCAACATTCTGCTGCTGTGTTAAACCCCATTTTAACAGGTCATTCTTCAACTATCAGACGGAAAATTGCAGAGAGACTCACAAATATGTGATTTTACAGTAGGAATGAATATGTAGAATTTGAGCCCTTTCCCACATTAGTGCTTAGTCATACGGAAAACATAATTTGGGGAGTGTGTATGGCCTTAGTTTTTCCTGGGTTTTACAGTTTGTATGATGCTTTTAAATAGCGCTGTACTTAATCAGTAGAGGAGGATTGATAGTAGACTTTCTACTCGAGCATAATGAGGCTCCACATGTGGGAGCTTTTTATAGGAGGACTTGTTAAATAGTCTGAGAGATCAAAGGCCACTGGAGAACAGAGAAGTGGAAGGTCTTCTGGTGAAGAACTCCTTTGCAGCCAAGTGTTAACTGAGGTGAGGAAAAATGCAAGATTTTTTTTTCCTTGTTGCAGGAATATTTAATGCAGAAAACTGTCACTCCCTCTTCTGTAATAGCCTTGCCCTTTAACTAAGATTGCTGAAACTGCTTGCCATCCCAGTATCCTTTAAAGTTTATTCTTCCCAAGAGCACTCCATGTGTTCTTCCTGCTTCTTATTACTGGGCGTGAGTCCTGGAGCTCACTGTCCCTCTGGCTGTACTGTGCTGACCTCAGTGAGAATGGGCAGGTGGCTGCGCTCATGACTTCAGAATATAGGAACTCCCTTTTTGCCAGAGTATTTCTTCCAGGCAGATGCACAAACTGTACTGTGAGTATTGCTACTAGAGTAAAGAGGGAGCAGACAAATAAGAAGAAAAGGGGGGAAGCAGCACGGGGTCACATTCTTAGACAACTTTAAGAAAAATATCAAATTGCTGGAAGACTATAAAAAAACAACAGTAAATGCTTAGAGTGTAATAAGAAAAGATACTTAGTAAACTATTGTACGGGGTACCTAGTAAATAATAGCTTTTATATATCAGTAATCTGTACTTACAGAAGTTAAAAGTGGGTTTGGATTGTCTATTATTTGTTTGTTTCAGATAGAACAGTTCTTAGAAAAGCTTCCCATACTTTGCAAGTGTCAGTTTAGAAAGTACACCTTCCTTTAATAACTTTTTATGAGAAAGAAAGATAGTTAACAGAGGGAGACGTATTCCAATCAGGTAGTGATATTAACTGTCTTGTACCCAGGCAGTCCTAACTTTGCCTGCAGTTGAAGCCTCTGAGTGACCAACATAGTACACGTCCTTCTGCCCGCTTTTGTTCATGATGAAGTACAGCTCTGCTGGAATATCGTATTTACCCATTTCATCAAAGCTACGGGGGGAAACACAAAAAGCTAGCAGACCATTCGGCTGTCACAGTGTGAGTTACTGAATGTCAGTTTTGGTCATTGCACCAAGCAGGACCCCTTGGAAGACGAGGTTGGGCGCTCTGTCTGCATTCTTGCTTGAGTTGGGGAAGGGGGTAGAGGGATGCAGCTGGACTGCCAGGCTGCCTGATGCCTTGGGCTCCCTGTGAAGGAGGTGCCAGTTTTGTCTGTCAGCTGCAGCCCTTAGGGAACTGAATTTAAACAGTGCTTTCACTAGCAGGGGTTACAAAACATGTTTCTCAGTTAACATCAGTTGTGATAGATCAGAATTTTAGACTGAGCTGAGCAGTCTCCTCTCCTGTCCGCACTTGGGACATGGTATCTGGTGGGAAACTTCAAGGTTACAGGTGCCTTCCAGTTTTGGAAGTCTTTTCCCCAGAGAAACCAGCACTGTGTATGCCCCAAGGTGACCTGCGTACTTCCAGCTTCGCTGCTGTATGTGCTGATTCCAGAAGAGCCTTTCCAGATCATGCAGCCAAGCCCTTCTTATGGCCTCCCTAACATGCTCAGAAGTCGCTGCATCTGGGGAGAGACTTTAGATGTTGCATGTCCCACTTGAAGTCAGATTATATGAAAACCATGGGGTTTTGTGTAATTCAGAAGAGGATTATTTCATATAACCAGAAGGAGAAAAGTTCTGCACCCCAATATTAACTACCCAAGCTTGCTAGTCCTCTGAAAGTTGCTTTCTTCAGCAATTCTTTCTCCATGGAGTACCTGAACTGCCAGAACTCTTTCTGTCAGGGCTTAACGGTCTTGTGTTTTAAAGACCAGGTGTCTCCTCAGCTGTTTCCCATTCAGCATTTTTCACGTGACACCAGCGGTTCACTGAGTTTGACTTAAAGGGTTATAAATGCAGGCTCTGCTCTGTGCCATGGAGGGGTTTCACTCTGCTCAGTGTGGCTGTTGAGTTAATCCTGCCCTGAAGCGGAGGTGCAAGGGACCCTGGCAGTGCTGCACGGGTATTGTCCGTGTAGCTAACAGTCTCCTGAGGGGGAGTGTAAGGGGTGTGTGTTTCTCTTGTCCGGATGCTGGCCATTCCAGGATGGCATTTCTTGAGAATACATGTTTCTGAGGACTGTCCTGTACACACAGCTCCAACAGGCCACAGATTTCTTTCCTGAAAGTAGTGTAACTCATGCCAATTGTAGCAATATCATCAACAGTGCTTGGAAATTAAAAAGATAAATGGTCTTCCATGCTCTTTTTAAATTGATACTTAGTTTAAAAAATGATCTGCTCTTATTCTTTCTCTGGCAAAGGCCCTTCTGGTAAACTCCTGGTTCACTTCTGGCTCATGTGAAACCTTTTAGATGTTGCTAAATCCTTTCAGGAAGTGAGACTTGTGCTTCCTATGCTGACTGCCTAGGTGACAGTTTGCCCACACACTGAGACTTGGCACCTTTTGGAGAAAAAAGACTTATTCAACAAACAAAGACTAAAACTTTCTGGATTCAAATCCTTACTTATAAGCGTGGTAAAGAACACCAAAGCAGTATGTGAAGCAGAAGTGAACCTGTGACTACATAAATTTGCATGAGTCTCCTACCTCAGCCCAGCTGGGTTGCTTATCTGGTCGCCAGCTAAAGCTCTGACTGCAGCAGTCACTGAAGTGAATTTCAAGAGCGACAGAGATGCAATGCTGGATTAAGTAGTAATTTACACTATCTTGGGAAAGGTGATGTCTGAAGCTATCTCTGTGCTTTGTGGAGTTTGGGGGTCTGTGTGATGTTTTTTTTTTTTTTAATTTTCTTGTTACCATGCATTTGTATATTGATGTTAGGAGAGGATTAGCCAGACCACTAAGTTGTTATATGGAACAGCTGAGCGATTCGAGGTTTCTTTCAATGAGTTGCAGTTTATAAATTCTAACAGCCTAGCCAGTTGATGTAGGATATCCATTCCTTAGGATCCGGATGTGGAGAAATACTGGCAAGGAATACCTTTTCACCTTTGAGGTGTTACCCTCCTCCGCCTTTAGGCCAACAGAATATTCACCACATGCTGAAAGATCAATCTATTGGGAGGACCCTAGTGAGGTTTGTCACAGGTAGGTGTAGCGTATGTTTCTGTTACAAGCCAACCTAATTTTCTTCTGGTAAAGCAAACTAATGCTACAGTCAATGGAGCTATACTACTTTAACCAGAGACAGTATGGGTAATTGTATATGGTCTCCCACCTCACTGGAGAATAAACATGAAAATTGCATAGAAATAGAAGTTCTTAAATGTAAGGTAGAGGGCTTGGATATAAGATGGACAGTTGCATGCTTATGTTTTAAAACATGCTTGAAATATAGGAAATGTGGATTTAAACTATAAAGGGAAAAAATATTTTGGGGTGTCTGCAGACACCTGAAATAAGCGTGCCTTACTCAGAAAGACTGGCTGAGTGTAGCAGAGAAATACTACCAGCATCTTGTCAACAGAGCAACGAGCACTCAAAGAGGATCAACAGCAATTCTTTCCCAAGGAAGTTCTACTGCAATTAATGTATAAAATTAGCAGGTTAAACACGAACCATACTTATTGTTTGGGCTGGGCTAGGATGAGAAGACTGAGCAAAAGGTGATGAAAGCCACTGGATTAATAAGAGGCTGAAGGTAATTACACTGGGAACTCTCATTAAAGGTGTGGGATCTAGTTGCTTCCCTTTTCCTGGTACGCATCTGAGGTGTTCTTGCAGAGGGTTTGGGATATGTTTTAGTCAGAAGTAGCTTGGGTGGCAAACTAGCTACATTCATAATTACTTGGGTTTTAAGTTTTAGGTTTCATGCTTTTTTTTTTCCTTTCCCCCCCTCCCTTTCTTCACTTGTGAAATTTTCTTCCTCTCTCTCCCTCCTCCCCTCCTCAGCCTGTTTTGCCGCTTTCCTTTTTAGGCAACTGGAGGCTGTTATTGCAAAAATGACAAAGGAAAACCCTTCTCTGTTGTAACTTGTTCTGTCAGTCTCCTGTAAGCTGCTGTTCGCACGTTTACCTCCCTGGGTTGGGTTTCTGAAGACAATTGTTTCATACTACCAAGCAGAAATCACCTAAAGCAAATGTAGCTTAAGAAAGAGCAATACTTTCAAGTTAAATATTAACCAGATTCAAACAAGCTCAGGAGCATTTCAATTGAGGTTAACTTGCTGGGCTGGTGAACGAGAACGAACTCAAGCAGTGAAGAATAGGCATGGGGATACTCTATTCGGAGGTACGTGACCATTTTCTGCACAGTAACTGGAGCTGTTGAAGGCTGGGATATTCACTGGGTTTGGGTTGTTCCCTTTGCAGCTTCCCATACACAGGCTTATACAGATCCGGAAATTCTTTTCCTTGGAAATGCTGTACTTTGGCTGTTATGAATTGACAGAAGTACTGGTTGCAGGAGTAAAGAAAATGCAATAGCCAGTGCAATTATGGTGACTTTACAGGGAAAATAGGTGCTCCATACTTTTTGTTGCTCTGTGTTGAGAACAGAATGATTCTGAGCACGGTGCAAACAACAAACAGCTTTGCAAACTGCAAACATCTCCTTGGCTTATGCTGAATATAGATAATAAAGCTGATGCCTAAGGAAACATTCCCCCCCCAACTGTTTTAGGAATATGATTTTTTTTTTAGCTCTTATCTTTATGTGTTTGTACTCAGACCACGGCCCATTTAGCATACCCCTGGATTTTAGCATAAATGCTACCTAAATGTATTCATTATTTTATAAACTTCCCATTTATACACTTGGGAACAAATGAGGATTTTGGTCCTTTTTGGCTGCGAATACAGTGGATTGCACTGCTATTTCTTTTTCTGGAGACAGCATTATATAGCTGTTCCTTTAAAAGGTTGCATTTCTTTGCTGAAAGCCACCCTTTTATTTTTAAAAGGCTATTCAATGAAAGCAAGTAACTTTTCCTCTTTCAGTATTATAGGGAGCTCGAATCTGTGCATTCATAAGGTGGTGGGCTGGGTAGACTGCACCTTATTCTGAAAGGATTTGTTGCCTCTCTCTGGATCTACTACTCGGAGATAGCATTGTGCAAGAAACCAGTGTCATCTAGCTTAATTGAAGTGGTGTTTAGAGAATGTTTGAATGCTGTCCATATCTTCTGTGATTATTAGTTAATACTTCCATATACATTAGTTCTTTTCCTTTAAAAATTTAGAATGAGATACAGTTTTCTGGGTAAAGCATGGTTCATCTATATAGGATAGAAATCTAGAGAAGTGCAAATAAGAAAGCGTAAGTTACCTTTTCTGAAGAGTATGGATGGGATACTAGTGCATTCCTCAGCATCACAAACATGATTTAGATGTTCCCATTTAGCTTGTAGCATACCTCTGGGTGAATTGTAGTGCAGAAGAAGAGGCTGTGGATTGGTTCAGAACATCTGGACGTTATGAAGTGACTCCTTTTTGTCTAAACAACTGCAAAGCATTGGTTTAACTTGGGCAATTCCCTACAGTTCTCAAAGGAGGAAGCAATTATAATCTGAAATTGCTCTCCCAGTTGCCAGACCGGCTTTACCTCAGCCTCCTCTCTGTTGGCTGAATGCTTTGCCCTTAGTGCCGTGCCTTTAACCTTTAATTCGTGTGTGCTAGAACTTGCTGAATAGCTCATGGTTTATCACTGACTTGGCAAAGCTAAGCAGAGGGAGATGCAAGAAGCTCTGAAAACAAGTAGGCAAATTCAGATGTGGCAGTTCATCTGGATCTGAGTAAACTACCAGGTCCTGAGTTCAATCCCATGGCCCACAACTGATTTAAAAAAAAAATAATACAAAAATCAATTATGTAGAGGTATTGTCCTTCTTCCTGATAGCAAAAGTTTTTTACTTTTCTTGCACCCCTTATCTGGAGATCTTGTACTGAGTGATCTCAGCCACAAAAACCCTTGCCTGTCCTTTGACTACTTCTCACCTTTCCTTAAGCCTCAGATACTAAACTATGAAATCCTCTTCTGGAGGGCTTCTAGGAGAAGTATTGTAGAAAGAGAGATTCTAATCTGTAGATGTTTTGCTTTAAAACTGCATATTCAATTTTCCTTTGAACACCTGGCTTGCGTGAGCATCACTCAGTCACTGGCATATCTAATCTTCAAACTCTAATTTCCAGCCCCCGGTGCCTGCCCATTCCTTTCTGCAGTTGGGCAGAGTCATGTGCTCTGGTTCATGGTTAGTTGATACTGCGGCAGGGAAAAGGCCCCACTGGTTGAGGGTAGCAGGAGTTTGGTGCTGTGATTCTGTTTTCCTTCCCTTCCATCATATGTTTTGTGCAGCATCACGCTGTCAGGCTCATCGTGTGCATCTTGTCTACATGTTCAGTGGTGCTGCAGAAGTGGGGGTGAGAGCAGAGGTGAAGGGCTTTGCTGCCAGGCAGTTCAGAGAGGCGCTCGCTTCGTCTTTACCTGAGCTGCAGTTCTTGGTCCTGCTCCCCCTCCCTTCAGACCTAGAGCTCGTGTTTGCTTTGGGTGTAAGGGCTGATGTGCCTCTGCCGTGTCTGCCCTGCTACTTTGTGGGGGTGGGCTCTTTTGACTTCTCTGGGGCAGTCAGGACACTGGGATTTATAAATAATGTGGGGTAGGTGAGAGCTGCCACTCTGTGTCTTGGACTACCAGCACCCCCAGAAACTGTGAGCTCCGTTCCCACTGATGCTTTCTTCAGGGTTTTTTGTTGAGGGAGCCCTGCCTTTGTTTCTCACACATGCCTAAAGGAGATGCCGTAGGCTTTATGTCTGTGCTCTAGTTGCTGGTGCACCTCTAATGAGGCAGGCTGCAGGGGTTCTCCTGGCTGTCCTACACTGCTGTGAGACTTTGGCACCCGTAGTCCTGCTCCTCTCCACAGCTGAGCCCGAGTCTGAGACGTGACCTTTGGATTCTTCTGATACCACTTCCATCTTGCATGTGAAGCCCAGTTATTCTGAGTACATCTCTCATAGGTTTATTTCCCTCTTGTGTGTGATGGGTGGATAATAGTAATGTAATAACCATACTGTGAATCAGAAGCTGGTTGTTAAGCTATATCATTGCTGAGGTGGTCTTCCAACACTGTAGAAAACTGAGTGAGGGTTTCCAGACTTTTAGACTCTGTGCTTTTCTGTAGACATAAGGAAATGTGTTTTCTTGGGTTTTGGGTGGAATCTACTGCTTGTACTAACTAACGTTGTCCTAACTCTATAACTGGCCTCACTGCTGGTATTCCAGGCCCGTGCTGTGTAACTGTGTGTATGCAAGAAACACTACTGTGTTAGATAGAGACGCCAGAGTGGCAACCCAAAAAAGTGAAAGGTGGAAGAGGGATTTGTGGCAGAGGCTTCACATCCACAGAAGTCCCTGCATACTTCCCAAGCTCCAGCCTGGAGCCAGTCAGGTTTTGGGTCCATCCTACTGCTACTGGAAGCCTGTTTTAGAGCTTTACTTTACACGTGGCTAGAAATCTAGTTCTGATTTTCATGTTAAACTTCTTGGCCAGATATATTGCCTTTTTTACTTGTTCCTTGAAATTAATTGGCTCTTCTTCTCTAATACTTGACCTTTAATTTATTTTGGAACACTCACAGCCCTGTTTCTTTTCTTTCTAGCCAAGCTAAGTAAATCAGTCTTTCTTCAGGCTCTTCATATTCCTTAGTTACGTAGAGGTTTTATGCTCCTGCCATAGTCTCATCTCATTTTTGGACCCAGATGACAAAGAACTGTATCCACTCTCGCAGTTAAGTGCCTTCTATAACAGCTCTCTTCTCTTTATGGGGGAAAGACTGCCCAATATAACGTTTGCCACTGGTTGCTGTTTCTGATGTCTTTCTTACACAGGTGACTGCCACCTATTTATAATTGCTCTTATCTTTATTCGTCCCTAACACATTTTTTTCTGAAGTCCTTTTGTTATTAACATCAAAATAATGAGCTTACAGATGTTTGGATTGCTTTATTCCCTTACTTAAACATTCTGCTACTATGTTTGCTCCTCCAGTCATGGAATGGTGTTTGTCAATTCGGGAGGTATATTACAAATCTGACCTATGGGACTTTTCACCTTTCTTTGACTAAAAGAAGCATTTTATAGAATGCAAACCAGCAGTGTGGGCCTCAAGAAAATCCCATAAAACCAGGAAAAAAGTTTTGGGGTTTTGTTTTGTTGGGTTTTTTTTGCTAATATGAATGGAACATAGTAATGTGTGAAAGAAACAATTCTACAAAGAACTCCCACTGCGGTAGAATAATAATAATTTAAAAAGTATTTTAAGTACATCAATTACCCATGTATGAGCTGTTGGAATGGGTGATAATTGCTTCCTTACATTCTCCATGCCCTGGATGTTTTCTGAGAAGAGCCGGTTTCAGGGGGTAAAGGAGCAGGAGTGACTCTTGTGTGCCAGTCTCTGTGCATGACTTCAGTCCCAAGTAAGGCAGTCTCTTAGGGAGTGGTGAGTGCTCCGTCATTATTCATGGCCATAGAACGGGGTAGTGTAAGGTTTAGAAAAAGACCCCACGTGCTCCGTCATTATTCATGGCCATAGAACGGGGTTCCACAGTAGTGTAAGGTTTAGAAAAAGACCCCACAGGTCAATGAGTGTATCGGTCAGAAATGCCTTGGGCTTAATGTCCTAGCAAGTGAAACTCTTTGAGGCAGTACAGGCAGAAAAGCACAGAAGCGTATCGTCTGAGCTGTCGAGCTAGCATGAATCAGACTAGAAAGGAAAAAAGTTATATGGTAAATGGTGGGGATTCGAGCAGGTGTTCAACCAAACAGCAAATCCCCTGCATCTTTAAATAAGCAAAGCAATACTTAAAAGGAAGAATAGTAGGGAAATCAGAGGTGCTGACAAACTCCACTTGATCTCCTTTTTCCTGGACATGAAGATACAGTACTAGACACTGACATGACAGAGATTGAGGTTCTAGAGCAAAGTGGTCGTTTAGATGGCACTGGTGTGCAGGTCACTTACACCAAGAGGGGTTTAAAAGCGGGATTTCTCCTCAAAATAGTTTTAAAAGTTCTGATTCTGGAGGAGTGTATAATAGCAAATGACACATGTAGGCTTTTACAAGAGTGTAGACAGATGATGCAAATCTACCATGTTGCATGTATTCTTTGTAGATTTTTGTCTGATATAATAAAAACAAAACAAGAAGTGTTGCAAGGTCTGGTAAGCATGTAAATACTTTCTCTAGAAAGGAAAATGACTTCTTTTATGCAGCTGTCCAGAAGACTAAGCAGCAATGCTGCTGGAGGTAAACTTGTGTTATAGATCAAAGCTTGTCTAAAGGGAAAGCGTAAATAAGATGAATCATTTTAATGTGGGGAAAAAAAAAAAAAGAAAAAGCTAACTGCAAGGGGGTGAGGAAAGGGCTCAGAGGTCAGGGCTAGATTTAGGATCTGATGAAAGGAGGACAGGAAGGGAAAACTGCAGATAATATTTAAGGAAAATGCCTGTCTTTGGTGAATAAAAACCTTATTATCGAAGACAGAAGAAAGAAACTTATTCTCTTTTTGACTGGAGAACTTCAAATGCTACCAGTCGGCCACACTTCCCACTGTTATTTTCTGCCTGTATTAAGCCATTAGAAACTGGTGGTACTCCTGCCATTCTCTGCCTCTCCTTCGACTGAATTCTTGCTGCTGGAGCGGGCAGGAATTGCAGAAATACTGAGCAAAGAGTTGAACAGCAAGCAGGTCTCAAAAGCCAAAAAGCCAAGCAGGATCTGAGCTGTGGACATACATGCATATGTTTTTTAGGAATTAATTTTAACTTGAAGCCCTAGAAAAGAAACATTGTGGAGGTTCTAGTGGGGTTTCGGCATGGTTTGTGGGTGGGGTTTTTTTGTTTGGTTTTTTTTTTTGTTTTGGGTTTTTTTTCACATTTCTAGCTCAGCTTTCACCTGAAGTGTGGTTCTGTTCTGGGCATGGATGAGTCAGAAGTGGTACCTCTTGTTCAGCAGTGCTCATCCTGAGGGAAAGCCTGCTGTAAACTTTGAAAGGTGTGGGCTTGTCAGTGCTTGCTGCTTAATGCGGTGACCAACCCTTATGAGATCAGAAGCCAATTGCTTTTTTTTAATGGCTGCAAATGAGCCGGGTTTAGTTCTTGGATTACAGACACATGGTCCAAAAGGAACAGAAAATTCATGCCACTGGTGCAAGGGCTGTGACTTTCCAGGCTGAGGGCTGCTGTGTGGCAGCTGCAGGAGCATCTCCTACCACCATCTTCTGGAAGTCACCGAGAACTACAGCCTGCATTGGAAGTGCTTGGCAGTGTCTTAGGATGTGCAAGTAGTAAGCCAGAATGGGAAGAAGGGATGTCTTAGTGAACCATGTGCTGATGAATACTATCTTCTCTCTTCAGCCCATTTGTCAGGCAGCCTATAATAACGATTTCAATGAAGTTCAGCTCCTTTTGGAGCGCAACAGAAACTACCTGAACATCCAGGACAGCTTCAGTGGAGACACCCCCTTAATTTGTGCATGCAAACAGGGAAACAACAGGATAGTTAGCTACCTCCTAAGAAGAAATGCTGATGTCAACCTCAGAAACAAGGTAAGCAGACATGACTCCTCCTTTGCAGTCACTGTTCTTTCAGATTCTTGGAGTGTGTGTGTGTGGGTGGGTGTGACTGGCAGTGCTATCACACCTGTGGTTGGCTTCCAACTGAGGCATAAATATAGCCCCCAAATTCTAATTTAATAAACCTTTACATTTCTATTTGTCTCCTCATTTATTTTCCTAACTTGCCATTGCACACAAGGTAATAAACATCGCCAACCTGAGTTTCTCTCTGTGGTCACCTTCCCAGGTTAGGTAATACCACACACCACCCACCGTCCCCCATGGGTTCTGCCTGCTTACCCACACAGCACTCTGCATTCGTCTTGCCCTCCAGCTTGGATCCGTCCCTTCTGCAGCTTTTCTTTTCCCTTGGTCTTTTTCTTCACCTTGGTTAAAAGGGAGGTCTGCAGGAGAGCCTGTCCATCTCTTACAAATGTATCCCTGAGGCAAGACCAACTCCGTGAAAACCTTCATTATTCCCTCCGCAGAACTGCTTTTGTCACATTATTTGACACATAACTGTGTGCTGGGGGATGAGGAGGGAAGCCGTCGTCTGTTCTTCACCTGTTCCCTATCTTAAAAACCCTACCTGCCTTGCACAAACGCTGTGACTGGCTATTTTCCCTAGGGTGATGAGGAACTGAGTTTTTGTGGTAGATTTCCTTGTAGGTTACAAATTAAAAGTAGCCAAAAGACGCATGTTCTGGCTTCATTACTAATTTATTCTTATGATGCTAAGGGCGATAAATAGCCAGGAAAAAACCCGCAACATCGTCAATTCTGTTGTATCACCTCATACTCCAAGGCAATGCTTAGCAAGTCCCTACACATTTGTGGGCTATCTTGCATCTCTGGTTGCCCGTGCATTTGTTTCTTTCCTAGGAGGGCAGCAAATGTTCGTGAGGTCAGAGCCATATTCTATCCTATTTATTCTTCTGGATGCAGAAGGCTCTCCATCTTACCTCAAAGTCCTTTTGAAAGGGTTCAGTAAGATCCTTCTAATTGCATTGGCAGCCACTTGCTAGCTGTGCCTGTCTTTCTTGAATGCTTCTCTGCTTCACCTTCACAGATGGAATCAGGCCCTTGGGTGCAGAGCTTGGCTGTGGTGCTCAGGACTGAGAGTGGGGAGCAGAGGATGACACGGAAAGGCTTCTTCGCTTATTTTGGGCCCCAGCGTAATGCTGTAACCTAGTCTGTCAAACTCCAGTTCGACAACCTGCAGGAGGTTTAACACGAGTGTTCTTTAACGCACAGGTCAAAAGCTATATCATTTAGTTGCTTTGGTGCACTCGGTATTCAAAGTTTTTTTTTAAACTCTCCCTTGCTAGGAATCTGCTGGGGCTGTTACTACTTGCCTGTGTTTCTCACGTGTGCCAAAGGAGATGCCATACACTCTCCTATGTCTTTTGCCTCAGTAACCAGCACCTCTCTAAGAAGAAGAGGTGTGGGGATT